AATATGGTTAGAATGTCATATTATCATTCTTTAATAACAATACAGCCCTTTTTCATCTACTTAGTGCCTTTAATATGTGTTCTCTTCCCTGAAGTGTCCTTCCTGCATTTCCTGGCTAACAAGAGGACTTCTTTTTTTCAGTCTTAGGAATTAACCCCAGTCCAAAGGCCTTGTGCACGCTCCATATGTACTCTTACCGCCGAGCTGGCTTCTTAGTCCTCTTTTTTTACTTTGATTTTGAGACAAGGTTTTACTGAGTTGCTCAGACTGGCTTTTGCTCACTCTGTAGCCCAGGAAGGCTTTGAACTCATAGTCCTCCTGCCTCAGCCTCCTGGGTAGCTAGAATTGCAGGTATGTGCTATGGGCCCAGCAGGGGCTTCTTCAAGAAGCCACACATTGAGTCATCTGAGACACTGTCTTCCATGACATTCCTAAATCAGTTTGTCCTTTCTTAGTCTGTGTTGAGCATCTCTGAGTTCCCACACTGTCTTAGCACAGCACATGCTATATATATTCTGGGAAATGGTTGATGTATGTGTTTCAGGAACCTCTCCAAGCTTGGTCATGATGACAACTGTCCTTTCATTTCCAGCCACTAACAGAGTGTCTGAAAAGGCAGAAATTAGTGAATGAATGAGAGGCCTGGGGTCATGCTGGTTAAAGTCTTTACAACCACTTTTGTTTCAGAGAGAGAATCCCTTTAATATGATCTGAAACTTTAAACTAGTATGTCCATTTTGTGGTAACTTCCCGTTCTACTCCAAAAACCTCTTCAAGTTCTTGGAATCATGAGGCATCTAGGGCAGGAAAGCAGCACGAGGAGAAGGGCTCTTCCATGCTGTTTTTGTCTTCTCTGACACTTATATCCCCTGTGTGATCAGAAATTTGTAACTCAGATGAACAGTGTTCATGATAATGAGCCATTCTTAATACAATACTGATTGAACACCTTTCTTGAAGAAGGTTATAGTGCTTTACATACATTATCTAAATTATCTTGAGACTGTGCCTGCAATAGGTGATCACCCACTCAGAGCTTACCATAGTCTGACAATCCAGATCTCTGTGAAGTAGATTTTACCCGCTCTGGGCCCAAAAAAGAGCAAAACAAAGCTCAAGTCTGTAATGGCAGTAGCTGCTTTCTTACAAGCACTGCTTCTTCTAGCTGGTCTTGGGTTAGAACTCAGCAGCTATAAGAAGAGGAGGAATGAAGTCTTGCTGTATACTAGTCATACAGCTAGAGATGAGTTATTATGTGAGTTTAGAGGAAGAACAGAACACTTTCACCTAAGGGGATATTGCAGATGCCTTCAAATGACTTGTTTGTCTGACTCCTTCAGTGAAGGAAGCCTGCAGTTCTTAATTGAAGGCCCATATGTCCAAGTCCCATGTTAGACATTTTGTGGAGAAGCATTGGGGTTTAGGGGCATCATCTCTAGATTAAGAGCAGGGAGATTAGACTTCTGATCCCAGCCCTGTCATTAACCAGCTGTGTGTCCTCAGTGAAGTCACTTATTCCCTTCAGACTGAAGCTGAGAGCATTGGGCTATCGTCTCAGGGCCCTCCCAGCTTCCTCCTGTGGTCTCCTGTACACATCACAGATGAAACCAGATGCTCGGAGCTCTTGCACCTGATGCTCACAGCGCCTGCTCCTTTGCTAGTGTTTGTCGCTCCCTTTTTAAAAATGTGTATATCAGCCATGACGATGGGCAAAAGGTTTCCTGTGGGCAAGAGCCAAATTCATTTCATCTTTATGTCTCTGGGTAACATGAGTGCACTTAACTCTGTCTCTTGCATCTTTAACCTGTGAATCTCATCTGACTCTGCAGAGTATTAATCAGCATAAGTTGTTCCTATGTTGAAAGGAAAAAATGCTGTCTAGTAGTCTGTTCCCATCTTTCAAGTGTCCTCTCTTCATCCCTTTGCAACTCACCTCAACACAGTGGCCGCCGTCCTTCCTGTTTCTCTCTTCCACTTCCTGAAGTCTGGGTAGGCCTCACTACTCCAAAGAAACTACTTCTGATAGCATCTCCACAGAGTATTTTGTTACCTGAGTGTGGCACACACCTTTAGTCTCAGCACTTGGGAGGCAGAGGCAGGCGGATCTCTGTGAGATCAAGGCCAGTCTTGTCTACAAGTGAGTACCAGGCCAGCTGGGTGACCCCTGCCTCCAAAAAAGAATGTTTTGTTGCCAAATCCAGAAGGATGCTTTGGCATTTACAGCCTCCTGCAGCATCTGCCCTTTCTACCTGCTTATTCTCAAAGCTCCCCTCTCAGGTCTCCTGTGGACCCATCATACCCTGCCCTCTGACAGCCCTCCACTCTGTCCTCTTAGATGCTGCCTTCCTGGCACCCTCAGTGGTTCTATCTTTGACTCTTGGCTGTCTTCACTTCCAGGTTCTCTTGACACTTCACTGATACCTGTGCTTCCACGGCCTCCTCCCAGCCTGGCCGTTATAGCCCTGGCTCCTCTCTCAAGCTTGAGCCCACATTTCCAACTTCTTCAGTACCATGTCATGTCCAGTTCCACATGTTCAGGCCGCCACTCATTGCTTCCTCCTAAACTATTTTCTCTTGTTTCCCCTGTTTGAACAATGACTCTTCAATCCATCTGGTTGTCCAGGTCTGGAGTTCTCCATCTCCCTCATCCCCCAAAGAGCTAGTTAGCACTGAATTTTATACCTTCATAGTAACTCTATGGCTATTTTCTAACTGCCCTCCTGGCTCCTGGGTCTTTTCTGTAATCCATCCTCCATGATGTCACCAAAACTGATTTTTCTAAACTAAAAAAAAAAATCTATCTTATTGCCCTTGCTACTAAAAGCTTCAATCCTAACTATGAACTTGACAAACCATCACTCCCTTAGCTTGCAAGATCCTCTTAGACTTGGATGCTGACCAACCCTCACAGCCTGTTATTGCCTTCCTTAGTAGCAAAACTCCTTTGAAAGGGTGTGGGGAGACGAACTATGCTCACTCTTACCACTGTATCTTTGCTGGGGCATCTCTGAGTTTTGCAAGCCATCCTCCTCCTTCTGCTGACAAGTCCAAGGACTGGAATTAGATACCGTGCTTACTAGGAAAACGTTCCCTTCTTTGTCAGGCAGAGTGAAGTGGCTCGACGCCATGACTACCAGAAACTTTGAATTGCATCTCCGCCAGTTCTTGGCATTTGCTCAGCTAGCTGTTTATAAGTGTTTCCCTACCATATAGCATCTCAGGGAAGGAACTTCAGCACTTGACCTTTGCTCCCTAACCTTAGCCTAAAGCCTGACACACAGTAGCTGTCTTCCATGCTTGCTAAATGGGTTGACAGATTGATCTGAGGGACAGGTTACTCAGTGACTCTGTCAGTCAACCTTAGGCACTCTTTTTGTTCTCTCCATACTCCTCAGCCTAAGTCAGGGGTTTCCACAATTCGATTCTATGTGCTTTTTAAGGTACGTAATCTACTTTTGTTCTGAAAAGACTGATCTGTTTAGGACCCCTAATATTGTATTCTCAAGTAGTGACAAATTGAATTATCTTAATGAATGGAGTGGGATACTAGTAGACCTTGCATCCCAAGGCCTGTGTGCTATGCATGAGCACGTCTTACCTCTTAGGTAAAACAAGTAGCTCTGAATTGTTCAATTCTCTCTTGACAGTATTTACTCTTTCTTCTTCCTCTTTTGCTCCAAAGACACTGGCAGGCATTTGGTGTACATGGACTGCCTCATAATAATTTCTTATTATATAAGTGCCAGTACTAAGTACCATTTCCCTTTCATTTAAATTAGATAAAACTCAGAGTTGTGGCTCACAAGTGATGGAAGTCCACTGGGGAAATTAAAGGCTCACAGAGATCAGGACTCATTGTAATAAAAGGATTTGCACAGCATGTGATTCCATCCACCTTGCAGCTTCTGTGTTCCTTGGGGTATGAGAAGGCAAGGGGACTTTGGAAGTCGTTTGGGGAATCTGTTTTAAATAGAAATGGTGGTAGCATTCTGTGCTTGGAGTAAACTGGGTCCTGCACGATGGTGTGATCATCATTGTATAAAGACTATGGAGGGCCCAGGTCTGCCCTGAGTCAAGATCTCAGCCCCATTTGTTTCAAGTTTTTCTCTATTCCTGCATAGGTTCTCACTGGCCATTAAAGCTCATGTCTCCCTCCTACCCTCCTTTCTTTCTACCTTCCTTCCATTCTTCCAATGGCTCTGAATTCCTATTCTATACTTAGTTTAACATTTAATAAAAATCACATACTTAATCAAGCCACTACCAGACCTTCAAATCACTTCTAATTATTGGGACCTGAGAAAAATACAGAAAGCAGATATCGACTAGCTAGAAGAAAAACAAAGATGATCATCATTTAAGTAGCATGGTCATAATACTAATTGTTAATACACCCTGGGGTCTGCTCAGGTACCAAGCACTTTACATGTGTGCTCTTGTTGAATTCTCAGAACCTTCTCTGAACATGTTATCTCCATCTCATAGATGAGGAGATGAAAGCTTAGAGAAGTTAAGATACCCAAGGTCTGTTATGCCAGCCTTTAATCCTAGCACTCTGGAGGCAGAGGCAGGCAGACCTCTGTGAGATCAAGGCCAGCCTGGTCTACAGAGTGAGTTCCAGGTAGTCTGAGACTAGGGAGGCCCTGTCAAGTGAAGAAGAAGAAAAAAGATGCCCAAGATCTGTAATGAATTGCAGAACTAGAATGAACTATAATGTAGAGGTAGAAACTATGTTGGGTGGCAAAACCAGGTTTCATGCTAAAGTCCAGCTCCAAAGCTCAAGGTTTTAAGTGCTGTTTCAGCTCCCTGACTTTAAAAGGTTTTATTCCTGAACGTAAACCTCGGGTAACAAATCAAAGTAGTTTTGTGGCTAGAGAAGCCTTTTGCTGCCTATGTGTCCTTTTAATTGTAGCAGTACTTGTCTTAAATCGTACTGCATTTCTGAGACTGGTTTCACAGCTGTTCAATCTGCCTTTACTCTCTCACTTTTGTATTTTTAGATGCATCATCCCATCCAGATGAAACCTGCAGATAGTGAAAAATCCAACGGTAGGTACAACCGACTATGTCGCTTAATAATGCCTGCTGCCTTAGATGAAGCCAGATGCTGGAAGAGGAGCCCTAGCTGCTGTTTCCCTTGGGAAGGTGGAAATAATCACCCCTCAGAACCTTCCACTGTGGTCAGCACATCTGGAGAAACTTGCACTCCACTCCTCTGTCTCGTGTGTCTCTGCTGCAAAGATCTATGAGACTATACCAAGGAGTGTTTTTCCATCCCCCCCCCCCCCCCCACTTAGGGCTCGCCTTGCATGGTGGCCCTGTGGCATTTGGCTGGTGTTGATCTACTCTAGCTCAATACAAGGACACCTGATGGGGGGAGGGGACAGGAGGGGAAAGTGAGTTGCTCCTTAAAAACAGGCTCTTTCGTTGCCTTTCTAGTTGCCCCTCTCTGCCTGTCTTACTGGATTCTTCTCTAAATTGTACCATTGTATTTGCATCTGAATTCATTCAGAATTCAGTCTGCTGATTAAACGAATGTACACTTGCTTCAAAAATATGCATTTGACGAAATCTATAATATTGGGCTTTGTCGCTTTGAGGCACTAGAGGGTTGATAGCCCACGTTTTCCCCAAGTTTTTGCTTCCATTTCTACAAACCTTCTGTCCCTGTTTAGTTCTTTTAATTTACTGAAATGTATGTTAAAAGAATCGTCTGCCTACTTAGACCACAGAGCTCCTCTGTCCCACAAGACTGTCATAATCAGCACTGTTTCCTTTCAGTAGGCAGTTTTGCACCTCATTAATTAGTAATCAGGGCAGAAGCCATGCACTTAGAGATCTACATATCTGCAAATGTAAATTATGATTGGGCTCTAAATCTCTCCACAAGGTATTTTTTGCTAATTGTAGTGCATCCCATTTTCTGGCTTCTTCACAGACTGGAAAGTCTTGAAGAAAACTGCAAATTGTCACAGGGTTCTAGCACTGGTGTGCCAGAGCTCGTCTCTCAGGGGCAGATTCTGGTGCTTTGCGCCTCTCCAACTCTGTTCTTGCTGCCCATTCCCCTCCCCTGTGCTGGTTTTCACAGACATGGCTTTTACCACCAGAACTTTTAAACTCTGCCGCCGCTCTGCTGTGAGCCCATCATCAATTTGCTTCATTCCTTCATTCACTGATGACTCATCGATCACTTTCTATGTGCCAGGCATGTTGCCTAGGGAGTAGTACTGTCACAATAAATTTGAAAAGGAAAAAGACTGCAAAAGACTATGCCTCTGACATGGTTTTATTGTTACTGAGCAATAAAGCACCTACTCATCGTCACTTAAACATAGAACTTTGAATCTGCTCATTCATAAATAGGAATAGTGGAAGCTACCTTGTGTAGGTGGCTTTTGTTTCTTGCAGTCTCAAGTACAATATCTGTCACAGTCTGTGGAAATGACAGAGTAGCAGGTCTGAAGTGTTGGTTATTATCACCCGGAGGTGCCCCCTGGCTTTGTAGCATTCTTTGCTCTGCATGTCTGCCTATACAGACAGCAGTTTTTGCCCCAGAGCTTCCCTTATAGTCTGTTCTACTCCTTAGTGGGAGCCAGAGGAGATAAATCTCGTATTTGTGGGACAAATCCTATCAATGTGGATCATCTTGGAGTTTTTGGCCACCAAGAGATACTCCCTGCCCTTTGGCCCCATAATTCTCTAAACTATGTCAAGGCAAGGGCCGTTGATCCAAAGTCCATGGCAAAGAATTGTCTTATTTTGGGAGCTCTAGACTGTGTTTATAAATATGTGAATTAGATAACTGATTTCAGCACATAAAATACTCAAATAATTGAAACCAAATATTTTCTTCTTTGTGTTCTTTCCTGTTCATGTGTAAAACCAGGAGTAGGGATCCTCTGCATGGGCAAGCGGCCAGGACTTCTTAGAGTGTTTGCTGCTTGTGTTGTCCAGTGTCAGCTCCGGGTACTGGGGCTGATGTTTGATCTGAGTCTAAAACCACACAAGACTAAAGCTGTTGGGCAGTGGGTGCCCCCAATTTTGCATGATCTCAAAAGCCGAGGAGAATCTGGACATTGTTATTACTGAGATTTTTAAAAAGCATTTAAAAATGCCCTTTTTCAGGAAGCAGTGTGGGGTATAGCAGGAAAAACTACTTCAAGGAGTCGATTTGACCGCTGACTCTGCATTTGTTAGTGTTGTCCTTCGGCAGGTTACACTTCACTCAGCCTCAACATCTTTAGCTATAAGATGGGCTACCATTTTGCAATGCCTGTCTTGAGAGGTTGAGGATTATATAAATTAGCATCTATAAAGAGTTCCGTATAATACCTAGCACATAGGAAGTCTCCAGTTTGCTGTTATGCTAAATTAGCACCACAGTTCCACAAACTGAGGGCGATGGCTTGGTGCATTCAACTGTGCAGAGGCTGGCACACTCAGGTTTACGGTATTCATAACAAAGTATAGGCCCGCGCATAGACTGAAAATCCCCAAACCCTCTTGAGGGGCCAGTTCTTTTTTTGCCTTCATTATCTGAATTTCTGATAAGAGAAGTCATAACGTTTGAATAGATATGAAGCTGTATTTGAAGAAATCATTCTTATGAGAACTCAAAGGGAACCTCGCCTTGCATAGATATGAACAGGTGTCGTGGTTCCCTTTGGATGGACTTAGTAATCAGAAGAAAAGTATACTTTTCTAACTCAAGTGATAAATGTTCCAGGCCTTTCTGATTCCACATAGCATTTTTGACAGGTAAGCATAGTTTCAGAGACATAAAGAGCACAAAGATTTCTTTGGCTCAGACACTCTAAACAGCTCCTGTAGCAGTGAAAGAAGTATAACGAGCTCTAATTGCACTTTTATTGAGTTTGCTGACATTTATATATAGCACAAAGGATTCATCATAGTTAGACAGTTACTGTCTTCATTATCTGTGTGTTCAGATTTCTGAAATTTGTATTTGCTGAGCAAGAAAGGACTGCTGATCACAGATGAGTTAGTGATGGACAAGTGAATTTCAGCAAGTCAATCATCTTTTGAAGCCCCATCCAAAGTTCAGAGATGTTAGGTGGCCTGTAGGCCAACCCTGTACTGCTGGATCTTACTGGTCTTCCTAAACTTCTGTGCTTCCTGTAACCTGCCATTCCGATGGCTTTGATTTAAACTGCACCCTATCACATTTATGCCAATCCACAGCATTTTATTTCCTGCCCACGTGCTTTAATACCAGATGTCCAAAAAGAAAAACCTACTACCCTAGAGTGATAATAATAATTATTGATGGGGTCATGAAGAACATTTTAAAATAACAAAAAAAGAAGTTGGATTCTTTTGATACTTAGGTCTTTGTCCACTATGGAAAATTGAGTGACGGTGGTGATGGCCCAGGAAGAGTACTGGGGAGATGTGCTAACTGACATTAACTAGGACAAGCATAGTTACTTCTCCCGTTCTATCTACCATATATTTTCTGTAGCATCCAGCTTCCAGTCCTCTTACTGTGTAGTAGAAGGTACCAATTACACAAGATTTAAAAGCAGCTGTTGAGGCCACTCTACCAGTGAGTGGTAACAGGAGCATGAGATGGCCTCCTGCTCTGTGCTTGGGCCTCATTGACTAGAGCCATTTATTGTCATGCTGCTTCTTACAAGGAGGATTGTTTTTACTCATAGACAGAGCGTATAAATCCATCCTTCTTCAGCCTTACAACCTGATGCCTAGAATCCAGAAATGCTCTATTAGACCCCTGTTTCTCTTTCTCAAGGCCTCCAAAATTTCTGTATCCATGTGTCAAGCTCAGAGCTGGCGGGAGTCATGATAACTATTGTCGGGGAAGGGTAAAGGCCTACAGAGTTGCCATTAAAAATAGGAATCACTGGCTATTTCCATTCAATCACTTTTTGATTCACTAGAAGATGAAGAAATAATTTTGAAATTCAAAGTGGAGCCACTCACAGATTTGGAGGCAGTAATTAAATGCCATATGTTAGCACTAACACATTGAAAAGTTGTTAATTAATTCAGGCAGCCCCAAATCCAGGTGTGACTTTGACAGATTGTACACCAGGGTGTTAACACAAACTTACAATTAGGGATTTTTTAAGATGAAGTTTCTAGTCCCCTAACTTCAAGAAGTTACCCTTATCCTTAAAATATTAACCCTTTCTCATTGCATCATGGGAGAACTTTAATTGACTTCTGGCATGGAAGGTCTTTCAGTTCTGTTGCTGTTATTGATGTAAGAGAGAAAGCCCATCTGTGCAGCACTTCATATGAGAAAACACGGTTCTGTGCTCACTCAGCTATCCTGCAGGAAATGGCTTTGCCCTAGAGAACAGGGATCTTGCTTTTTGTTTGTTATTTTAATTCCTCTAAAGCACTGACCATACTACCCTGAATATAGTAGATTCATTTAAGCAATCCACATTCTTACAGATTTTTTTAAATGAGTGAGATACTTAACTCTTATGAAAGACCTTATCATCTTATTAAAATGATGAAAAAGTTAAATGAATTCAAGATAATTCTGCTTACTTAGAATGTTGACAAAGCTGTTAGGGATTCCCCAGAATGGGAATGCTGGGAACAAATTTTATGAATAATTTTTCCCTGGCAAACTTGGGGAAAGTCAGAGAAAAGCAGGATATGTTTAGACATGGGTCTATCTTCAAAATATGCACAGCCCGGCTCTTATAAGCAGGAAGCGACTTTGGCTAGTTTAAGACCATGAATGCCCCAATTCCTTTGTGTGTGCATGTGCAGATGAGCCCCACACAGAAAGAAGGAAAGTAACATTTTCAATAGCATGTGGAGGGTTCACTTTTTTCCTTGGTTAGTATTTTTTAAGTGAAATTTGTCTTCCTTCTTGCTGTCTGGCTGACTTTATCCTTAGAGATTTCCCAAAAGTCAGGATGATTTCTTAAATGGTTTCCAGTTTCAGAATACTCATCTTACAGAAAAAGAAAAACCCTCTTTTAGTTCACTCAGGATCTGCATGTTTAATTTACTGTAGCACCACCCTGGAGCTCAAAACGTGCAAACTGTTTTAGCTAAACACCATAATTATAGGTTTACCAGTGAAACCAGGAACCAAGTAGGAATTTTTAATTTGCTTTTATTGAAAAGAACTAAAGCAACATTCTTCAAAGTAAGAAACAGGGCAGGATTGTTTTATTCCCATAAAGATGCCAGCCACAGTTTGGTGGGCATAAGAATCTCAGAGCTAAGAAGGAAGGAGTAATAACTGCATGCTAGTAGTCTTTCTCTTCCTCCTTCATCGACTTTAGCACATTCCGTCCATCGCCCTGGCCCAGTCAAGGGAGTACCCCGTCTTCCTGCTGCTCACAATCCTGCATGTGCAGGGGCCAGGCATTCATGGATGTCCTGTAATCTACAGATGGGAAGGCCATAAGGGCTCTTTGCAAGGAAAGCTCCTTGTCAAGGCATCTCATACCCCTTTTTCTAAAAGGGGAGGGGTGCCCTAGACCACTAGGCTTTTCCAAATTCACAGTAGATCACTGGTAGTTCACTTGCTCCAAAGGTACCAAAAGAACTTTAATTGAAGCTGCTTTTTTATCCAAACACAGGAAGTCAGACACCCAACAGGCCATCCTCTCTTTTGTTCAGGGCTACTTGGAGTCTCATCTTAAGCGATGACTTTTGACTCTATTAATATCCTTATCCATTGAGCTCATTTTCTGATCAGGTTATACTCTGACCTCCAGGTACACTACTGCGATTCCTAACTCAACTCCTTACCTAGTAAGTACCTAGTTTTCCCACTACAAGTCTATCCAGCCTCTACTTTTACTTCTTAAGTACCAGCTCAGGAGGACCTTAAAAAGAGCCCTCAACTTTTCACTGAGTTATCTTAGAAAGTGTGTTGCATGTGGAAGGGGGTGTGATAAGGGGCATTCTGTCTACTGGTCTAGCATCATCCACCCCAGTGCTTCAGTTACTGAAGCATGTAGCTGGGCTGCCTCTTTTCCAGTGCTTAGGAAAGAGAAAAGAAAAGGAGAACTGGTAGGTGACAACAGTCAGGTAGTTCTCCAAGGTCTCACATCAACTTAACAACAACAGTTGTGATCATTGCTCTTCCCCTTAAGCCTCATCATTGCTTCCTCTAAGCTTGGAGAATCAGTAAAGGGACAAGAACACTGGGAATAGGAAAGCAGGTTGTAGTACAGGTTAGACCACATATTTGCTGAATGAACCTAGGAAAGCTCCCTTCCCCTTTATGGCCTTAGAAACCTGTTTTACAGACAAATGAAACGTCTTCTAAGTCCCTTACGTATAATCTGGAACTCTATGACCAAGGGCATTTAGCCACCTCATTTAACTTCTTCAGAGAAGAAGTTACATGGGGCTTTTAAATTTTAAATTAAAATGAGATTACATTTAAAGATCAGTTTCTTGGGCTGGAGAGATGGCTCAGTGATTAAGAGCACTTGCTGCTCTTCTAGAAGACCTGAGTTCAATTCCCAGCACCCACATTAGGTGGCTCAGAACCGTCTATAACTCCAGCTCCAGGGGATCTGCATCCCTCTTCTGGTCTCTGTAGGTATCTGCAAGCACACACACACACTCACACACACACACACACACACACACACACACACACACACACACATGCTTAAAAAAATAAAATAATTCTTTATTTTTTTAAGATCAGTTTCTCAACCATCCTGGCCCCTTTTAGGTACTCTGTGAACTCACATGACTTTGGCTCCCTGCTGTGCAGCACAGACATAGGGCTTTTGGATTGTTGCATAGAACTGCCAACAGTGCTGCTTCAGAGTGAACCGCTGAGCTGCAGCAGCGCTTTAAGAGCAAGTCCTACACCAGTCCTGGGAGGCTCAGACCACGTACCTTAACTTGGGCTCCAGTGGCATCTGGCCTCAGTAAGTCTGAAATAAATACTTATTGGTTAAATGAAAGTAGACCCTGCCCTAGAAAGGACTGAAAGAAACAGAAGCAAAACCCATGTTTAATTAGCAGTGGCAAGACGATAATACAAAGTCAGTACAAAGGTTTATGCACAGTGACTTGGGGCAGAGCCTAAGCCACGTCTCTGGGGCATCTATCTGGCTGTCTTTCTTCCCCTCCACCCTCATTTTTAGTTCTCAGAAACAGATTGAAATGAAGCAATGTGGAAAATAAGCAGGTCTTCTCCCCAGGGGCACCTGTGAGGTCTTTAAAAGGGCCTCTCTCCTAGGAAAAAGGCTGCAAGCACTGCCCTGAAATCAGTTGTAACTTTGACTTGTAGTCTAAATGTAGGTCACATAGTGTGAGCAGAAATAAGGAGATTTTGAGGGAAAACTCCCAGATCTGAAGAAAATTGAGACTAGTCTTTCCCTGTCAGATTCTAATGTGCACACATTCTCATGTCACCTAAAACGGACCTCTGCTCCTGAGACTCCAGCTCCAAGTGAGTGGAACAGCACAGCCTCCTCCTCACTCTTCTGTTGGGTTTGCACCTAGGTAGGGCCATCAGAGGTTACTGTCAAGGAACAGCAACTGCTTTCTCTGCTAGAATTGACTTCTTCAAGGTAACCAGCCTGGCCAGTTAGAACCCAGGTGCTGAGTCTAGTCAGAACTACACAGCCACTGCCAAGGGAAGGGGGCTCTCCTAATTCTCCTGAGAAATGATGCTCGGATCTCTTATTCTTCCCCAAATCAGTGGTGCTTAACCTACGAAAATGCTTGGTTAAAAGTTTCATGTCTGCTGGGCATGGTGATGCACCTCTTTAATCCCAAGCAAGTTCCAGGCCAGTCACGGCTACATGGTAAGATCCTGTCTCAAACAAACAAACAGAAGATTCATTTATTTCGCTACATTTGCATATACTGTTTTTCCTCTTCTGACCTTTCTCTATTAGAATTAAAAGACAATCTATAAGGAAAAAAGAAAAACTGTATCCAAAATGTCTCTATGGAACGTTAGCATGAGCAATTACATGAGTACTTTAAAGTCTTAGGAAGCATAAATACCATATGGTTAATTCCTGAACAGGGGGAAAAAAGGACTTGAGGGTGTTCTGTGTCCTGTGAAAATACTGTATTCATAAGCACAAGATTACAGCTAAATGAAGTATTCTTCAGGGCAAGGCGGAAGAGCACCAGGATGGGGTGAGCAGGAGCAGGAGCAGGAGCAGCCTGAAGGTCTAGAGTTAGCTGTGGGGCGACATTCAGTTTCACAGGGCCAGGCCTGGTCTTGCGTGGAAATAAAGCATTGATTATAAGAAAAAAGATGACATGGACTTTGTTCATTCATTGTTTTTGTATCTCCTAGCTGTGGAAGACAGAAAATTGTTCATAGGAATGGTTTCGAAGAAATGTAATGAGAATGATATTAGAGTGATGTTTTCTCCGTTTGGCCAAATAGAAGAATGCCGGATTCTCCGGGGACCCGATGGACTGAGTCGAGGTGAGTGTGCTGTCTGTAAAGCCTCTTTCCTTAAGTGCTAATTAGAACTCTGTGTCACAGTCAAGGTAGATGTAGGCATCACATATCGCAGGAAGTCAGCTTGCAAAACCTCCCATATGATAGAGTTATCCAACCTGAACTTTTCTCTGTAGCCAAAATCATCACCTCTTATTTCTCAAACTGAGCAGATTAGGGGAAAAGAAGGAAATGTGGCAGAAGGAGAATGGATATTTGATGTTTGGCCTTAGTTTCCTGTCTTTCTGCCTGTCTTGAAGGAACATTAAAGGTGTGGTCCTCTTAACAGCCATACAAGACTAGAAGCAGTGTCCTTGCTCATGCAGTGCAGGGGGCATCTGTGGACTCGGGCAACCAGACCTGTCCTATCCTGCATCTTGATTTTACTTTGAAGAGTCAAGACTTTCTAGTCCCCAACCCATATTCTAAATGATGGAAAAATAACTTTGACCTTAAGAAAATTGTAGAGCCTTCTTTTGCCACCACAATATAACCAAAAGCTATAGCTCAGAGCTGTGATGAAGACTAATATTTTTGCAAGTCATTTATGGAGCTGTGGGAATCACCCTCCTCCAGATTTGCTTCCTCCTTACCAAGACCCCACACCTCTTTCCTTAAACTATGTGGGGTTTGACACTGAGTGTTAACAGTTGTCTGATTGCAGTTTCCCAAGTCAGTCCAAAGTGGAAATATGCATGTAAAACATTCTTCCGTTCTTAGAAGACATCCGTATTTTTGCAGTGCAGTTTCCACGGGGCTAATTAAGAATTTTGCTTATTCTCAAGCTCTGGTCCTGGTTCAGCGCTGGTACCCAAGCCACATACTGAAAGAAAAACTTGGGCCATAAGTATCAAGGTGCTAATTTTCACCTGTCTCACTAGTCTTACCTAATTTCAGCACCATTAATTTTGGACTTAAAGCTTCGTGACGTCAACTGCTAGAATTGAAAGCCCAGAGAACAAAAGTTCCACCCACATCCACCGCCAGAGTTCCCAAATGGAGGCAGTGTAGAAGGAAGCTAGGAGGGGTGGAACGGCACCCAGCTTCTCATTCCTGTGTTTTCTTCTGAAGGGGGTTTAAAACGGGTGTGGGAAGGAGTGTAGAAGGAAGCTAGGAGGGGTGGAACGGCACCCAGCTTCTCATTCCTGTGTTTTCTTCTGAAGGGGGTTTAAAACGGGTGTGGGAAGGAGGACACTGGAAGTCACAGTCTATGCATTCTCTGGCAATTCTGAAATAATTCTTTAATCCTTACTTCCAAGGCAGGATTCTCTTTTGCTAAGCAAGATACTGTGAGCCTTAAATAACAGATTTAGTACCTAAGTCAAGGGATTCAGAGAGCATGGAGGAGACACAAAAAAAAAAATGCCTTTAACTTAATCAGAGATTTGACCATCAGTGACTACAAATTCCATTCTTAGATCTTTTAACGTGACATGTGACCTCAGTAAATTCATTTTGCTATTTCTATCTCTGTTTCCCCATTCCTAAATAACAGCAGTAAAAATGTCTGTCCTGCTCCTTTCATAGGACATCGTTCCTCACCAGCGTAGTAGCTTTTCCTCTAAGCTTAGTATCTATGTGGGTTTGTGGAGGCTGGGGTATGAAGTCGAGTGCTGACTTTCTGCCCTTCCACTGCTTGGCTTAAGTCAACTGTGAAATGATTCTCCATCAGCCCTCACTGTCCAAGAGGAACAGGAACAAACAGCATTTAGACCTCTTTGAGCATATATTAGATTATATATAAGATTTTAAAGCACACAGCTTTCATGAGAAAGAGCAGGACACTGTACTTATTAGGAGAACTTAGATAATTTGATCTTCCATGTGGTTGATTAACCAGCACTGGACACCAGTAGCCCACTCCTACAATAGGTTATGGGAGCTGTCCCATCAATATTTCATGCAAATGTATGGAATCAATGTAAAGAGAATACTCCCCGCTCCCTTTTTAACAGAGAAGTAACTTCTGGTGAACCGATGAGAATTCCCTATTGGAAAAAAATAAAATACTCATAACATTTGTTCTGAAACACAAAGACAGGCAGTGGTACCTTTTTCACTTAGCAGGACCCAGGGGCTCCTGGCTATAGGGACCTGGTCCTGAATCACTGAATTTCATGAAAGAAAAATTCTCTTTCATCTCCTATTTTGTTCTTATTAAAGAGTTGTAGTTTTCAATCAAATATTAATAAATATCTCCCATTAATGGAACTGCAGATAAGGGCACTCAGCCTTTTTTCCCTCAATGTCATTGCTAGCTCAGCTGTTGAGAAAATAAATAAAAAGTAAGTGAAATGAAAGCTTAGCTTCTCTGAAAAATACTTCCTGATACAAAATCAGTATATAAACTATTCAGCAAGAAAGTTTATGCATCAGACCATTTGATGGCGCTGAGGGTGAGATGCTGTTGAGTGATGGTCCCTTATCTTTCTCTGCATTTATGTAATTCAGCTGTAAGTGTGAAGACAAAGAAGGCAATTAGTCCAACAGCCCCTCTTTCTCTGCCTTCTCAGTTCCTCCCTAATGAGCACTTGGCAGAGGTTCCTCAGGAGTGTTGACTCAGGACCTACTCGTCAGCATGGAGGACTGAGGGCCACCACCCCTCAGCTGCACCTGCCGAGCCTTGCTTGTGCTTTCAGTTGGAGTCTCTGTCTTTGAAAAAATAAAACTCACAGCCACCAGTCCATGTCCCTGGGCAGACACCCTCAGGAAACTGCTGTGACTGTGTACATGGAAAGCAGTAGCACTTGCCAACCTCACAAAGCTACTCAGCAATATTTGACCTCTAGTTGCAAAAGGCAGTGTGCTCGACTCTGAGGAGGCCTTCCTCCCCTTCGGCACAGTCACCCATTCTGTTCTTTCCTATTTTGCAAAACGTGTTTTGCAGTGCTTTCAAGCAACTTCTTGGTAGAACATTGTGCAAAGACACGTTCACCTCTCAAGGCACCTGCACAGAGCCCCGGAGAAAACCAGCAGGCCACCACGCCACGTGCCAATCAAACGGACACATTTGCTCTCAAAAGCAAAGTTTGAAGTTTCTAAACCAAACGACTTACTTGACAGTGTCACTTTAGCATGTTGATCTCCTACAGTAAACATGTTCTCACTTGATCTATTCAGTCAAAATCGGCCGTTTAGATCCAACCTGTAGGATTTTCTGCACTGTGGCAATTGACTATAACTTGGAGACAACGAAAAAGTTCATTTTATTTTTCTTTCTCACAAATTGCAGTCAGGTCTTCACTGCTATTTAAGGTAACTTTTTGCTTTAAGAGCCTTCCAGCTGTGTTTATGGTGTTCCAACATTCCCCTGCCAAAACCCTACACAAATGGATTGGCAGTATTGTCAGGGATGTTGAAGAGCACAGACTGGGTTCAGAAGTTCAGTCTTCATTTGTTTTGTATTGTATCTGATGAGCTTATTAGGACATGACTTTTGAATGCTCATACGGGTGCATAAACAAGACTGTTACGATGACATCTTAGTTCTGTCCAGCCAATACCTAAACATTCAGCTGTTTAGAAAATTTCATCCCATGCCCCCTGGAGTTCTGTCCAGCCAATACCTAAACATTCAGCTGTTTAGAAAATTTCATCCCATGCCCCCTGGCATACTGACTGCATTTGCCATTTTGTTCAGAATACAGTCTTCCAGGCTTACCTAAACACTGAGATTTTGCCAGCTGCCAAGTGGATAGGTTCTCATCTATACCCACCCTCAGAGCTTGTAAATGAATGATGGATATTTCAGTTCCAATTCAGTAAACTAGCCCAGCACTGCCTATGGTGCATTAGAGTGTGAATGTGTGTCCCCAGATGTTATGCTGTACCATGTGACTGAGCATGCCTGCCATTGCTAAAGAGATACAGCGAGGGGTACTGGCTGCACTCATATCTCTGTTTGGCTGATGGTGAATTTATCAATAATTTTCCGTAGTTTGAAATCTCCTTCATGCTGCACAGTAATTTTAAATTATGCTTCCTCCACTCGAGATATAGCAGGCCACTGTGCCTCTTTCAAATAAGTCACAACAAGAGGCCCTGGCATTTGTCCGTGCTTTTAAAAGTACTTTTTTTTTCTTTTTGGTGTGGAGCAAAAATTCATCTAGTTCTATAAAATGCTCTTGGCAACTGAGAGAAAAGGTGGAACCCTGAGTTAAGAAACCCTTTCAATTGAAATGACAAGTGTAATAGATGTGCTCCAAAATCTTCCCTGTGACAGGGCTACGTGCTTCCCTTAGATCCTGTCTGCAGGAGGAAATTACTCTGCGAAACCTTTCCCTAGTCAATCATCTATCTGTTTTAGCATCAAGAAAGCAAGCTCACTGAAGTGAGAGGATTTCAACCGCTTCGATTCTGTTAGTAATCTCTGACACTCTGAAACTAGAGACAATGATTGTCAGGTAAATTATAGGGTGGCCACATTTACAAAAGGGGAGGGGGGTATTTTGCTATTATATATTTGGAGGTTTAAGATAGTGATATATATGCTATTATATCCAACCCCTCAAAATTAATGTGGCATCATTGTTTTAATACTTAACGTCATTTTTCCTCCCGTCTAATTTCTCCAGCATTGTGGTCAGTCACCAGAGGACTAGTTGCCAAGATAGCACATTAAGTAGTCCTAAATAGTTAAGGGATAACACAGCAAGATCAGAGGTGGTGCCCTGTCAAGACCCAGTTAGTGCCACTGCATGCGGAGGAAAGGACCAATTCTGACCCAAGATACTTCCATCCAATAGGAAGCCTTCTGGTTGGCTTATATAAAAAGGTGGCAGCTAGTTTTAATAGCAGAAGCTTTTGTGTCAGTTAAAAGCCACACATCAGAGGTCTAATGCTGAAGCCACCTCTGTTTTTTCACTCGTGTTGAAAAGAAAATTAAAATCTATCCATACAACTACACAACTTCTCCTACTTTAAAGAAATTACAGAGGTTAGCCAGCTTTACTCTTCCAAGAAGCACTTAGTTCTTAAGTTGCTACCTTCATCCAGCGTGGCACTGAGAGTAAAATTTTCAACATGTATTCACACTTTATAAATGACACAGTAATTTTTACACAGTAATTTTTTTCTCCTAAGTAACTGAGCATAGCTCACAGACAGCACTTGACAGAAGCCCCTAAGGAGCTAGCTTCTCTCTTACTGTACTGTACCACTGTCAGTAGAATGAAAAGGTTAAAGAAGTCATCACATTTGTCAGAGCATTTTTTTGATGAGATAAGGATTATAAAATTAGAAGCATCATTTGAGTTTTTAATTGCAGGTTTCTTAGAGGAAAGGGCAAATGTTTGAGTTGATAGAGATGTTATTGTTATATTGCTAATATTTTTTCCTGAAGCCTGCTAATTGCTTTATCTTTCTAAGTTACTTACAAAAGTTCTGCTTGTATGAAATTGTGGTAAATGCATAAACTGTGCCTTATTGATTCTTATTGACTTTTACATGTTTCTATTGCATTTTAACCTCCATTTGGAAATTGTCAGTTTGGCATACATTCTTGATAATAAGAGCAAATGAAGTGAATCTAACAATCTTCTTGACTGTTAAAAGCAGACTTAGTCCAGACTTCCCATGGTTCCAAATATACAAATCTCTTAGTGTTATTTCCTCTATAATTTCAGTGGCGATCATAACATTTTTGAAGAGATACTGCTTTGAAACAGATGGTAAATTTAAGACCATAATTTTAGACCTCAGCATCAATATGGGAGCCAGTGGAGACACTGTCATCTGTCATACACTCTATTACACACATCCTCTGAATGCCTTAGAGGAGGCTAGTAAATTGCCTTTATTGATGACAAAAGGTACAGTCCAGTCTAGGTACGAGCAGCATTTGTAAACAGTAATTTCCATCAGCAGCTATCCTGGCAGAGAACTGCGTGCGACAGCCCAGCATTCATGGCAAGTTGGACTTTGTTCCCACTTCTTAAGGCCAGCTCAACCAGGAGGGGAACATGGGATGAGTTTCCTGTGTCCTGAAAGTTCTTTGTGAATTAAAATGGCAATATGAAGCAGAAAGGAAAACAATATGTATTGACTTACTTCCACGACTGAATGTCGTTGTGTGTTGGGGTAATGGACAGGCATTGCTTTCTCTTAATGCCGTTTGATTAAAAGGTGCTATGGTAGTATTGACTTGATAATCTCACCAGGTATACAATGCAGAGCAAAAGGAAAAAATTGCATTTTATGACTCACCAATTGATTTACATAAATGAGACAATCTGCTAGTTGTTAAAATGTAGAGCATTCTATTTTGCTTATTGGCCACAGGGGCAACAATCTCATGTTGTTGATGCCCGAATTCTGCCTTCCTGCATTTACTCTGAAATGACAATAGGCTTCAGCCTCTCAGTGTTTGGAAATCTTTTAAGTAGTAGTAATAATAATAATAATAATAATAATGTTTTGAGGAAATTGAGTGGAACACTAAATTATTCTCTGATACCTAAGTTCAAACTGTGCAGGGCTAAAGAAGCTGAAAATCAATGCACTCTTAAAGTCATTAGAGATCATAAGTGAAATAAGTCTGTATTGGTTTAGCTGAGCTTTTAGTGTGCTGTGGTATTATTACAAAATCAGCCTGAATCTGCATTAATTTCACAGTCTTTTTCTCTAAGAAGCCCAAGGGCACACGATGAATAAAATGTACATTTCATAAGGCAGTGTTTTTATTAGTCCAGAGGGCAGTGAGCCGTGCAGTGACTCTCATGGTAGCCAGTGCTGCTGTGAGACACAGCAAGGACAAGAGATGCTAGATCCTCTGCAGCACTGGACAGACACAGAGCACGGTATAGGTCTCGCAGTAGATGTTCAGAGAAATATGCATGGTCTTATGTATGTTAAACTTTAGCTCTAACCTCTGACACCTTTCAGAGAGTTCAAAATTTCAAAAGTCGTGAAGATTTTTCGACAGATAAATCCTAAAGAATTTTTGTGGTTTTACTTCATATGCATTGTTGAATATTCTGAGTAATAGAATCTTTGGTTTTGTTGATAATTAATAATTGGTAGTTTATAATGGATTTGGTGTATTTGTTTACATTTGAATAGCATCAGTTTATTTTTACTTATTTATTTATATAGATAATATTTTTAGATATTCATGAGGAATTAGATATATTTATTTGCTAACATTTTGAGCTCTTAAAATTTATTTGCTAATTTGGCCTTGGTGTGGTGATTTCCTTATGTACTTCTTGAAATTTGGTTGTAAAATTTGAAGTACAAAGCCCTGATTTGTGGATGCCCTCAGTGTAAAGATCATCAGCCAAGGAGAAAATGGAGAATACCCCATTTTTATTCTAGAAAATGCACCTACCTCTTGCTACTTTCAAACCTTGTGGCTAAAAACAGTACTCAGCATCCTCCCCTGGTTTCTTTAAAAAAAAAAAATAAGCTAATAAATAAATCTTCCTGCTTTGGTCAGATTAGCAAGTCAGCACTGTGAATAAAAGAGCAAAGTAAGATAAAACCAAAAAGAGAAGTTGTTTATTTTTATGTACTACTGAGAACAGTGTCGTCTTGTGGCGGTTCTCGTAGACTGTGTTGGTTTAACAAGCGTCCAACCCTTTTGTCTTGTTGTTTTTGTCTTTCCTGCTCCCTGTCCCCTTGTTTCCCACAGGCTGTGCGTTTGTCACATTTTCTACAAGGGCAATGGCACAGAATGCAATCAAAGCCATGCATCAGTCTCAGACCATGGAGGTACTGTATCATCTGCCCTTTCTTTGTTTTCTTTGTGCAAATGATGGGGAATGGTAAAGCAATTCTCTCATGTGTGGATTGTTCACATGACAATCACAGATTGAAACTTTCACCATCTCGCTTTTCATTCACTCAGATTCATCTCCCTCTCCCTGCTGTTTCCCTCCCCCACCCCTTCTCTTTCTTCCCTACATCCCCCGCTCCCATTTGAAATGCACTTAGTGAAACTTTCTACTTGCTCAACAGTTGTCTTTTGAGTCTTTTTTGAAGCAGCACAGGTCCCGCGATGTAAAATCATGAGGCACTTGAAGCAAGGCAAAGTGTCATTCTGACCTAGAGAATTGAAAACAGTCTCCACAGCAGGGTTGGTATGGACTGAGCAGAAACATTTCCCACCTCAAATTGTTGCTGTACCAAGTCACTTGACTAAAGATCAAGTTATCTTTAATCTAGTCAAAAAGAATTGTTTTTGCATCTCAGGAATATTGGAGAAAGTTAGTAATTCTCCCACTTAACAGTGAAATACTAATTTTCAGTCTCCTGGAAAATCAGATCGGTTCCCTCACTTTAAAATGAGCAGTAGCAGACACATTTAAGACACAAATCCAATCTCCCCATGAGAGGTTGTGACTTGAGGGAAAGGAGATGCACTGATGTGAAGAACACCTGTAAGTGGAGGCTCGGCTCTGCTTTTAGTCTGTGATTTGGGTCATGACATTTCAGAATTTTGCACAAGAACATTCCAAAAGTACATGCCATTAACTACTGTGTACTGTCTGACAGGATCATTTGGGAGTGCATGTGCTGCCGTGTATGTACACTGTATCTTCGTGTGTGGGTGATCTCCAGACGTGGTGGCCTTGTGTGTTATCTGAAGCTGTGTTTTCATATTTTGAAAAAAGATTTTCAGTTTTATTTAATGTGCAAAAAATAGTAATTGTTCGAGCTTTTTTTACTCCCCATTTCATTGGGGTTGTATTTTTTTGTTTGTTTATTTGTTTTTGTTTGTTCTTGCAATGCTGCATCTCCCAAAGCATGCTGGGAGCTAAGTGATTATTATGCGTCATGTTCTGTGGGCAACTTTTTTACATTGAATCAGAAAGCGGGTGGAAAGGGTGGAAAGGGTATGCATGGCATTGTCATTAAGTGTTTACTGTACTTTTTTGAGTTGTGACATCAGCATTGCAAAGCCTATTGTCTTTTTTTGAGCATTACTTTTAACTTTGATATTCCTAACATGTCTTATATAATTAATGTGTTTTCCTTTCAGTGCAGTGCATTTTAAGACAATCCCACTCCCCCTCCTGAAGGCAAGCTCAGGTGAAAATCAGACACGATAGGAAGTAATAAACAGGACTCCAGTCTTGTACACCATGCAGTCCACATTTGCGATAATATTTTGATTCCCCCTCTCTCAGGCTGCTCCAGTATTGTGGATTTCCAGCTACTTTTCAGCTTAGACATTAAATTGAAAGTGCCATTAAGAAAAAATGTGCTCACCTGTAATTTATTTTCTAAATATGCATGTCACTGTTATTTTTATTTCCTATAATTGATGGATTTATACCCCTTAGATAAGGTTTTTAAGTTCTTTCAACTCTTAGAAACGTTGATACCCGCAGGTGAGGCCATAGAGAAAGCTGGCGTGGTCTGAGTCTCCTGCATTACTCCAAAAGAGCTCAGTATATAAGGTAGAACTGGGCAGGTGTCAAACCCAGAAACAGGAGGCTTTCCTAATGGAAAGAGCTGTTATAAGGGTGGCACATATCTATTAAGACAATCCTGATTTTTTGTTATTAATATCTATTTTATTAAATTAAATTTGGTGTGCTCCTTTTTAAAACTGGGACATCCATGCTTAAACAAACGGGCCCTTGTTTTAATTTACAAAAATTGATGTCTAAATAGATAAGTATACATTATGCAGTACAATTGTAATTATACAACTAAAGTTGTTTGTTTGGTTTTAACTAACTGCATTATTTTCAGGACTCTGGTATACATCTTTAAGCAAGATGTATTTTCTAATTTAAGTTGATGTGAATGTTCAAAGAATTGTCTTTAAAATAATCTTATATTATACCTTCTATTCCCCGCTTGCCTCCACACTGTCCCCACTTGGTTTTCATTCATGATTTGAGCAAGTCACTTTTATGCAATTGTTGATTTAATTTTATGCTTTTATATCTTTCTCAGTATTTAAGAAAAATAGTCAGTGACTGTTAGGAGAAGATGCTGTCATGTGCTAGAGAGCACATTTCATACAACAATAAAACTTTTTCCACGCAATATTTCTTTATAGTATTTTCATCTTCAGAGTATTTTGCTCTGCTGTAAAAAGCAATAAAGTGCTGAAATATGAATCCAATAAAGAAACACATATTCGATTTTTAATGGTAGAAAGTTTACTTTTACATAACTTATGGACGTTTAACATTCTGTCCTATAACTACCTGCCAGAGCCGATGCTCACAGAGCAGAAGTTCCACACTGAAGCTGTCACCTCACTTCTCTTACTTTGTAAAATAACAGACTTGATAGCCTCATGTCTTCATAGCTACTTTCCAGTAACTCCCCACAGTGATAAGGAAGAAATGCAAGTCTGTCTTTTAGAAGAAAGAAAAATGACCCAAATGGAATGGAAGGGAAAAGTTCATTTAAATAGGAATATAGCTTTTCTGAGAGAAGTCTGTTATCATGCTGAGTTTCAGTACGTTTTTATTTAATCACTTCGGTAGAAATACTTCTTTCTGCCTCAGCCCAGTGTAACAAAACGGTGATGGAATGTGCTCCATACCAAGAACAGAAGGCTGGGGAGGGGAGAGGGTATTTTTCTGCTGAGTTCTTACCAAGTAGCAGACGTTTCAAAGGTGCTTTGAAAAGGATGGAGGCTCATGCTTGAAGTAGCCAGCCTCTATTTTCCCTAAAGATTTTATCTATCTCAAAATTTAATTTATTCTATTATATGGCCTGTGACCATTTCTTTCTCACTATTCTTAAATTCTCACCTTTTAAAGGAAATTAAAACTGAAAGAAGCTGGTACACAGGTGAAATTTATTAGAGAAAGGAGCTAAGTAGAGTCCTCCTCCTTCCGCCTCTGACTAGAATGAGCTTCTTGCTCTTTCGTTTGCTCTGGAGACTGATAGAACAGAGGGAACAGGAAAGACAAAGACGGGCCCATTGAAAACATGAATGATTACTTTGGTCAGTGCCTATGTGTATTTTTTTATATCTCTGTCCTTCATCCATGTTCTTAAAATGAAACTAACGTCTCCCTACTATTGTATCCAAATTATTCCCACTGTTCCAGTGTTCAAAATGCAGAGCTGAAAATGAATGAATGAGAGCGAATGAGAATTGTTTTCATTCCTATTGCAATTTCTGCCCCTTTGTCCTCTGCCCACAAGTGGAGTCCACAGACGCAGACAGCGCTATCTCTGAGGCGACCAAACCTTGAAGTCTAGTTAAAGATAAGTTCTTTGTCTTGAAGGAAGACACATGGAGAGAGGATAGGCAGTGTAATAGTCAGAGCAACAAAGCAAATGACGTGATCCCCTTACCACCCAGATCCCCTTCAAGAAACCAGTGACAGTATTTGAAGTTTTCTATTGATGGTACCATTCAGAGAAGGAATATCAAACCATTTTAAATCATGTCGGACCATTCCGTGTGCTCCAAGATAGTCAAGAAAGATAAATCCAGTGTTGACTGAGTCTCATCAAAGGATCCAAGCCGGCCGTAACGTCCTCTTCACTTTCCCATGTGTCTGACCACAGGGCTGCTCCTCACCTATCGTGGTGAAGTTCGCTGACACTCAGAAGGACAAGGAACAAAGGCGCCTCCAACAGCAGCTTGCACAGCAGATGCAACAGCTCAACACTGCCACCTGGGGGAACCTGACAGGGCTGGGCGGACTTACCCCACAGTACCTGGCGGTAAGTGCTCTCCACAAAGGAGAGGAGCAGAACTCCAAAATTCTCAAAAACTACTTTTCCCTTAAGTAAAAGTTCACTTTCCTTACCCTTTGACTCTCTAGAATTGTTGAAATCACATTTGGACAGATTTTGTTTTGCCAAGTTAAGTTAATTAATATAAGTGCTTGCCTAATTTAATTGTGGCCTATTGGCAGCTGGGCAGAATCCCAATACAGTAGACTTCTAAACAGTGTTTTAAAGTACCTTAAAAAGCCTGTTAGAAGAGACGCTTATGCTTGCTAACCAGTCATCTAAAGATTCTGCGACAACCGTCAGAGAACTCAGCAGCAGACAGGTGAGTAGAGGCAGCAGTGGTCGCGGCCCGTAGTGGCTGTGAGGAGCAGAACCTCGCCTTGGGGCTCCCAGTGAAGCTCTTGATGACATCAGTGTTTCTTACTTCATCTGGTGAAACCCAAGAAAGCTTGTTCTCAGGCCGAGAAGACCCAGTTCTTTGAACTATGTCTTGCCTTTCATAGTTTCTAAGCATTTGCTTTGTGTTAAACTTCTCACTTTGTCAGTGTCGCAATGGCCAGAATTTATGACAGTTCCTCTGTTAGGATCTACTGGACAGAGTAATGATCCTTAGCATGGACTTTAAAACCTCTTACTTCAACTCTATGTGGCCTTCGTAGTAACTGTGCTGGACATGGACTGGGAAGCAGCGAGGGGTGCTCCTAAGTTTTAACTTTCACTTAAGGTAAACTTGCTTCTCTACCTCTTTTTTCTGTTTTTGGAACCTGAATGCCAGACTACATATTTATTAATGTAGTTTCGTCTTGAGTGTGGGGCTTCTTATTCTAGCCTGAGAGAGTATTAGTGAGGACATTTACATGATGTGTCCTAATTCTGTCATTTTATATTTTAACTATACTCATCATGAGCTTTACTTTGTAAGCAGAGGCTGTACTGGTGTGTCAAACAGACCAGACCCCCTCTTGCCTTGGAAGGTGAGGTTATCCTGCATGTTGTACAGATGAGGAAAGGAGGTCAAGAAGGCCACGTGCCTTTAGCTCGGCTCATCCAGCTGCCGGTGTCTCTGGGCCTTCAGCTGTGGAAACTCTCAGCCCTTTGCCATGGTGCCTTTGGGGGATTCTGGGATGCAGACTACCTTCCTGATTCTACCACCCCCACCACAGGTGCCCACTGGCATCTGTCACTAAGAACTATTTCATACAGATGAACTAATGAGTGATAAGCATGGTTCCCCTGTCTTCATCTGAGCTATTAACAGAAGCATTGACTATGTGTTTGTTGTCACTTTCTGAACAGTCTTTCATCTTATCTGTAAAGATACTATGGAGATTTTTGACATGTATTGCTTTAAACAGTGTATTTGCTGCCATATCTCTTTCTTAGTCTGTAGTCTAAGAATTCCATTTTTTTTAAAAATCTGGCTCAATGATAATTTGTTTTTCACAAATGTGTGCTGTTCAGGTGTTCACAAACCATCAGCTTAATTGTATGTAACCTAATTTTTATCCAGTCTGACATCACGCTCGCCTTTTGTGCATTCTATGAGTCTAGCTTTTCTGCTTGTTCCACTATTTCTGAAAGCCAAGATGGATGTGCCTTTCTCAGTGTTCTGACATACTTCCCATGTTCCACATATCTGAAAAGTACTTCCATACCTCATTTATAGAATTGCCTTTGTATTAACCCTTAGGTTTTCTTCTGTCCTGGGATCAGTCTGTTTTTAGCCATGTTTCTCTCCTTTTACTTGAAAATCTAAAAAAATAATAATCTGAAGGGCGTTTGGCCCTTAAGGATTCCTTACCTCTGTATTAAAACCACAGATTCCAAGCCTGGCTCACCAAAGATTGATTATTCATTGAAATAAAAGTATTACACTTTCCTTAGCAGGAGTTATTAATTCCTCAAAATATATTCAAAGCTAATATTACAACTTTAATTTTTAAAAAAGCGTAATGTAGAGGGCTGCCATTTATAAACACAAACAAGTGGGAAACTCAACAAATCAAACAAGAGGGCATTTCTGTATTATAATGGATAGTGCCTGTGCTTTTGCATCTCCCTATTCTTTGTGTGTGAGTTTGAGAGCAAGTTTGTGTGTCCATGCAGGCTATGTAAATACTCGAAGAAGTTGAGAGAGTTGAGTAAACATGATAAGCATCCTTCTGGTTTTAGTTCCTATAAGTATTAAGTCTCATAATATCGTGGTGCCTGAGGCCCATGTGTCATCAGCTCCTGATACACCATGATTCTTGGTGGTTTATGTCATTTGATATGTACTCTTATTTTTTTTCAGTCATCGCCAATATAGAGTTTTTCTTACTAAACTGAAGAGACCAGTACTTACCAAGGAACTAGTGTTCAATGTTAGGTTTTACACCACTGTTAATGTGTTCTGAAAGCTATTTCTAATTAGTGAGTTCGTGTTGTTCCTCCTGGCACATAATGTCATAGACAAATTTTAACTATACATTTTGTTAATCCCTATCTCTTGATGTTCATGTGCATTGAGATAAAGAAGATAATTATGTTTCTCCACATACAAACTTATATCTGTATTGATCTGTCTTACTGAAAGAAGACTGCATATACTCAGAGTCAGAGGATAGCATCTCAGTTAGCCTCCAGTTCAATCACACTGGACAAGGTCAAGAGCTTCAGGACCAAAGCCATATGCCTTTACCTTATGATACCCAGAGTCTGCACAGCAGAAAAATGTGGTTTTTGAAAACTGAGGGGGAAAATGCGGACTTTTGCGGGCATGGTAATGTCTTTTTGGAAAGACTCTGACAAACCTAAAATGCAGAGATTCCATGTGTACCAGATAATTCCAAATCTAATAAATACTTTTTTTTCTGCCAGTGAAGACCATCTTAAGAATTGCTGACCATGTGTCTGGCCACATGGCTGTGGCCGTGATTGTGACTGTGAATAGGCACTTTACTGTCTGTAGCCTTCATGATGATTCTTCTGTTGGTCTGAGTCAGTGTACCCATGTGCTTCTGGTGAAGGATAAACAAAACTGACCTGGGCATGGATGAGGAAACGTCATACATGGCCCCACCTCTAACTGAGGAGATATTGGCAGTTGATGGCTGCTGATAAAGGGTAGCCATTTGCTCTGGGCTATGGGCCTGGCAGGTTGCTTGTGCTCCAGTGGATGCCCCACACCCATTTGCCATGTGCATATGGGCAGCATTAAGTGGACTCAGTCAGATATCAAAAAAAAAAAAGAAAACAAGAAGTTGGGAGGGAGGGTCCTGGGGGACTTGGATTTGGGAAATGGTAGCTAAGTATCATCAAAATATATTGTATACATGTATGAAATTCTCAAATAATAAATAAAATATTTTTTAAAGACAAAGAACTGGGGAGGAAAGTGAAAAAGAAGAGAAAATGGACCTTGATTGACAGAGATGAGTTGTGGTAACTACTAGACTATAGAGAGATACAATTAGTCACGCTTTGTTGGCTTCAAAAGATTTAACACCTGGCTGTTAAAAAGAGTAAATTGATTAATTGTTTTAAGGCAGCAGTGTCAGTGAGTTTCCCTAGTGTCTGTGTTTCTTAATAGAGATTAGACATTAATATGGATTTACAGCCCTAACTCTGGGGACCTTCAGTCCATCAACAGGCAGTGGCAGCCAACTATAAGAATGTAAAGGAAACGGAATCTGCCCCCAAGTCATTGAGGAAGTGGCTTTGTCTGCATGTTGTTCTGACTCTGCTTATGTGCTCTTTTGCAGCTTCTGCAGCAGGCCACCTCCTCCAGCAACCTGGGTGCATTCAGTGGCATCCAGCAAATGGCTGGTAAGTCATAAAGCATGCCATTTCTTCTGACCATGCCATTGTCTGAATTTGGGGTTGGTTCAGAGGATAAAAGAAGGAAACAAGGGTGTCAGAGTTAGAATCAGCTACTGAAGTGTTTCTCCTGCCCACCCTGCCCTTTCTTTGCAAGCAGTTCTTGGGGTGCTGCACATTCCTGGAGAACACACTCTTTAGCCATTTGTAGGGGTTTTTAATGGGTAGATTACTGGGAGATGTCCAACAATATTCCTTTATCGAGGGAAGCCAAAACTGATTGGCATCCCTCTAAAATTGTAATAATAGGCAGTCAATAAAAATGTTCTAACCTCCATAATGAAGCCAGGCTCTCTGGCCTACATTTGCTACAGTTTGTCGTCCCTTGATAATGACAGACAATTAACAGAGTGCCTTTTTTACTTTAGTGCTCAGTTGACAGAACTGTGTATCAGAAGCTTTTATGTGAAAGTATAATCTTTGTTCTCAAGAAAATCAAAGTGTGACTGTATTTGAAAGGCAGCTGATTGAAGAATTCCTTTTCATAATGAGCTATGCCAGTAGTTGCTGAGACTTGGCGATTAGTGAAAGGTCAGTCCTACTGTGCCACCTTCCATGCTGATACCCCACCTGAGCTCAGGGTGAGGGAAGGCAGTGTGTGCAAGAATCCAGAACACAGGTGTCCAGTAATGTTAGAAAAAACCAAAAGCATTTTACTTGTTTGATTCCCAAAAGGTGGGGAAGAGAGGGCAAGGAAAAGAAGGGATTTTTGGAGGGTGTATTAGAGTGAGTTGAAGACACCCCAAATTAATGAAGGAAATACATATGTAGATTAAAAGCCAGTTTTATCATTGTGAAAACTCCTGTTTTCCAGATTTTTTTTCCCAAATATGTATCTTTGATTGTTTTTTCCTTCTACTTCAAATGAATCAGGAAAGGCCTTCTGTGAGATTTCTGCCCATGTGTGTTCTGTGAATGTCATCCCCAGCAGTCCGTTGTGGTCCAGAGGGCTAAGGGTAACTCATCTGATGGTATACGTTAGTTGTTGGAAAGTACTGCTGAAAGATTTGTTGCATTTCAAAT